TTGTTCTCTGTCATTTCTTCTTACATACGCCTTTCATCTGATATAATTATCCTTACTTTGGACCAAGGCTCAACTGAAAATAACATTGTATTTTTTTGCTGTTACTGTAGTCTTCTTTGTCTTTCTCAATTGAAGTGAGCTATATTGACAATAAAAATTGTACACGTTCAAGATGAATAATGCTGAGTTTTTATCTGTGTCTATGTTTAATGCAATTACTATAATCAGATTAACTGAAACATGATTTCCTACCACGATTTTTCAAATAAAGAAACAAGATCTACTCCTAGGAAATTTCAGGCATATAATACAGAATACTACTTAGAGTCATTATGCTGTACTTTAGTTTCCCAGAGTTTGTTCATTTTCTAACTGAAACTTTGGAGTCTGACAAAATCTCCTGTCAACCTCACCGCACAGCAACCACTGTTCTATTCTATGTGTCTGTGAGTTTTAACTTACTCAGATCCCATGGGGACATTTCACAAGTTATCTATCCACCCGACTTCATTCATTTAGTGCAATGTTCTCCATCCATGTTGTCTCAATGGCAGTATTTCCTTTTCTTAAAGTGCTGAATAGGACAACATATTGCATTTTTTTAAAACTGAGACTGTGGTCTCCTTTGTCCCTTTAAAACATTGTGTGTGGAGGGAGAGAGAGAGAGAAATGGGTGGATATATAGATATTTGCCCACTGTCAGACATTTAGGCTGTTTGCATATATTGGGGTTACTATGGATAATACTACAACAAACAGTTGATAACGATATTTTTTGGGGACACATGACTATTTCTTTAAGAATGTACACTCAGAAATGGAATTGCTGAATCATATGGTTGAATCATATGGCTGAATATAATTTTTAAATGTTTGAGAGATCATTATATAGTTTTCATTGATAGCTATTCATTTCCATTTCCACCACAGTATACAGGGTTTCAATTTTCTGCACACCTTTGACAATATTTGTCAACTATTGCTGTGTTGCTAGTCTTAGTCATGTCCTTATTGCTGGGACAAAATACCCAACACTCACAATTTAAAATAGAGAAGATTTAGCTGGGTCACTGTTTTCAGAGATTTCAGTCTATAGTTTTCTGGCTCCAAGGCAGAAACAGTATGTTGGGAGAACCTGAGCAGGGAAAAGCTGCTCACATCATGGCAGCCAGGAAGCAGAGAGTGCAGGAGGATCTGAGAAGGGAGGTATCTCCTTCTGGGTCACACTCTGTGACCCCCCATCTCTTGAGGTCACAGTGCACCTGCTGACAGTAAGGAACCTGTAGTGCCCCACCGTCCAATCATCTTCCAAATACATGAGGCTTTGGGATCATATTACCTTCAGTCATGACATACATTAAAATTACATTTATCCTGAAGTGGCACAGATAGCAGGTGAATGACAGGAGAAAGAATATACTAAAGAGGATGGAAGAAAAAAACGTGAGGACCTCCTCAATTTTATTCTTACAATAGTACTCATTAGTGATGCTATATTTCACATGTCAGTTGAATTCTGTTGCAGATTCTATAACTGTGGTAGACAGGAATATCTCACAAAATTTACTTGAAGATTAAAGAAGGATGTACAGATATTTCTAGATATAAGTTCATAGAGTGCAAATGTTAAAGCTATACATTCACTCACACCTCTATGTCGTGATCAGATATTATTTCTAGTGGAAAGTTTTGATGTCAGGATTAATGCTAGTTAAGATTTCAAGCTTAAACATCACAGAAGAAAAATTTTTAAAAGACTCAGAAACATAGAATTTCATGGGAACCCTCTGTTGGCTTCTTTGGCTTTCTTAATTGTAATCTTTTTCAAAGTCCCAGAGAGGCTTTATTAACAGAAATCTTTGATCCAATCCCACAGGAGCACAGGCAAGCAGGGATGACCTCACTGTCCCTCCTTCTGAGCACATTTAATCTGCCTGCAGCCCATCAGCCCACCTGGACCGGGTCTGCAGACAAACGGAGAGCGCTGCAGGAGCCAAGGGCGGCCAGGGTTCTTGACTCCTTGGTCTGCGTCTGCCACTTCCTATTAGTTGTCAACAACATTACCTTCCTTTTCTCTAGCATCTACTTTTCTAAAGAAAACAAAATGTGCTTCCTTCTGAAAACTTCAAGTAACATCAATTTACTTCAATATAAAAAGAAATGGGATTTTTATTTTCAAAGTGTGTAGACCTAAGTATGTATTTCACCTTTATTTTTAAAAGGATGCATTTGCTTTCCTGAGACTGAAATATTGCAGAGAGAGTGATCTGCTTTGTTTCTGTTGGGGTGACTTCTGCGGATGACCATAACACTACCAACAATGCCTCAGGTGGGTTTATATTTCCTGGGTGAGTGGGGCTTCACATCCAGCTTGTGGACCACAGAGGGAGGGTGGCAGTTCCAGCACAGCAGAGGCACTGGGTGGTCTGCATCCACACTGGGGCAACACAGAGTCCTCTTGGTTAGAGGAGTGGCATTAGGCTGCTGCTCTGATAACCGAAAATTTAGTCTGCAAAAGGAGGAGATAAGAGAGTAAATACTTGGTAGGCTCTTAGAAAAGGGGTTAGGTGGCAAAGCATTAGAACACTTCTGGGCTGATGTCAGCCTCAGATTCTTCCTGTGGTACTGGACCAGCGCCACTAACAATCCCCACGTTAAACCCACGGCCAGGTAGCTTACTGGAGACCTGAGCATTAGGACAGTGAAGGTGAGGAGTGGGCAGGCAGGTCGGTCCCCTTGCATAGTCACACACAGTGCTTCCTCTTCCATCCGGGTGGCTGTTGCATGTGGATGACAACCGTGACTTCCACTGGACAAAGACCAGCAGAGCCACTCCCAACACCTCCCCCACCGGCCTTCTGCACCCGCTCCTTTTCCTCAGCCCCCAGCACCTGGGCTCTCACCCATGCTGCCCACTGTGCCGGTCCCAGCCCCACCTTATGAAAAAGTGCACCCTAGGTCGCAGGTGTGTTTTCACAGCTGGTTAGGAAACTTCAAATTTTTGCACAAGGTTCAGTGTCCATCTGCTGGCAGTGATAAGATAGATCTGGAGGAGCCCCTGCCGTTGATTGCGCTTGCCGGACACTGATGCTGGGCACATCACTGATGCCAGACACATTCACAGGATTCTCCAGCACACCAGCTTCTCAGGGCTTGAGGCCAGTAATGAGTTGGAGATTAGAAACAATTTTTGTGTTATTACAGGACTGTAAAATCTGAATCTTACAATTTTTCTCTTAAATATACGTGCATCACTAACATTGCTAGTATCTTTCCAGAAGGAAGGGATAATAGTACCTTCCTGTCAGGAAGTCCTATGAAAATTTAAGTTCACAATGTCAGAAGAGGAGAAGCGGAAAACGTTAAATCTGTTTAAGAGAAAACCTGGAGGGTGATTATTGAGCCTCCTCAGAACGCTCGTGTGTGTTTTCTGTCTGCTGCATTTTACTACTTACTCAATAAGTATCTGAATCACTTGTAGTCTATGCAAATGGTATATTGAGTGCATAAACTGACAGGGACCTCACTAAGTGCAGTCACGTGTCCTGTGATCTGGGTTTCCCTTCCGCATCCATCCCAGTGGCTGGGAGCTGGGATCCAGGAAGAAGGGCACAAGACCTGGAGACTCTCAGCGGGGTGTGGTGTTTCTTTCTGCTTCTCAGTTTTTCATGAAAAATCAGTTGTGGTGCTCATGATGTTTGCAAAAACATCTAAATTTTTGTCTAAAAAATAATAGTGACCTTACAAATCCTAGTTCTTCTCTGTAATTTAATGCAAATAGTAGGAGTTTTATGGATATAAACTCAGGGATGTACATTGGACTTTAAAGAGATGAAATCTTCCATCAAGCTATGTATGCTTAACTGGGGTTAAACTAGTAAAAAAGTAACAAACAGGTATTTCGATTTATAAGTTCATGTACATATGCTTATATCAATCTCTACTTAAAGTTCACATATTTATATGCCACAAACATGCACAAACACATATTTTCAAATATAAATTGTTTTCTTAAAGTAGGTTAATGTTTTATTGATTTGCAGGTCTTTTCCAACCTTATTCTGAAAATCAAATCTTTAAGTGTGTAACTAGGTGCTAAAGCGGAGATCTGAGAGTATATTATTGTGAGATAGATTATTCATGATAATTAGTATAAATATCGAATCCTTAACACCATATATGTTTACTCTAGGAACTTGCTGCGCCTAGCTTCATTAAATGTTTAGGAGCTTCAAAACCAATATTGTTCTAATCTTTCCTTTAGGTACAGCAGACAGAGGACTGCGGGGCAGAAGGATGGCAGGACGGACAGTTGGCTCTGGCCATACTCAGGGTTTCTCTCCAGCAGCCCTTTGGTCTCTAGGCTTGGTTCTGCTGGTGAGGACATGGGCTCCCTCTACAACCTAGCCTGTAATGTGGAAGACTGAGGTAGGCTGATTGCAATTTCCAATCCGCTCTGGGCAAGTTAGTGATTAGTGAGACCTTGTGTCACAACACACATACACACAGTGAGGGGGCCTCCGGATGTAATCAGCCTGAAGGGCCTGGGTTCAATCCCCAGTACAGAGAAATAAAAACGGTGGAGTTGACCCTTAAACCAGAGAAGTTTGGACTTACTTCATCAGTGATTACATTTGGAAAATAATAAATTTCATTTTCTTTTTTTTCCCATTTCTTAACTGTCACTGTGTTAGCAAGAAGCTGTGATTCTGCAAGTTTGTAGCACTTGTTCAAAGAGGACCCTGTGACCAGAGAAGTTTATGAGTGCAAACCATGAGGACATCACTGTGAGTTACAAATCCTTTCTGGTCATCATTGAGAATGGGTTTCTTTCAATTTGATGAATTGTAGGCAACTTAAAGTCCTCAGGTCCACAGGCCCATAGTGTATTTCTAGTGGGTTCAGTCAAGCTCTGCATGCGTGCGTGACACTCTCTGGACAGGCTTTTGAGAAGCTCACATTGTGTTAACCCCAAAGCTTTCTCTGCGTTCTAGGTGAGACCTCATGGACTTTACCACCTGGAGCTCCAACTCCACAGAGCAGTCTGGTTTCATCCTGGTGGGACTCTTCCGTCAATCCACACACCCAGCTCTGCTGTGCCTGGCCATCTTTGTGATCTTCCTGATGACTTTGTCTGGAAATGTACTCCTGATCTTTCTGATTCACTCTGACACTCACCTCCACACCCCCATGTACTTTTTCATCAGCCAGTTGTCTCTCATGGACATGATGTACATTTCCACCACTGTGCCCAAGATGCTCCTGGACCAGGTTCTGGGTGAGAATAAGATCTCTGCCCCTGAGTGTGGGATGCAGATGTTCCTCTACTTGACATTAGTTGGTTCAGAGTTTTTTCTTCTGGCAGCCATGTCCTATGACCGCTACATGGCCATCTGCCATCCCCTGCGTTACGCTGTCCTGATGAGCCACAGAGTGTGTCTCCTCCTGGCATCTACCTGCTGGTTCCTGGGGTCAGTGGATGGCTTCATGCTGACACCTGTGACCATGACCTTCCCTTTCTGTGGGTCCCGGGATATCCATCACTTCTTTTGTGAAGTCCCTGCAGTGACAAAGCTCTCTTGCTCAGATACCTCGCTTTACGAGATGCTCATGTACCTGTGCTGTGTCCTCATGCTCCTCATCCCTGTGACAGTCATCTCCAGCTCCTACACCTTCATCCTCCTCACCATTCTCAGGATGAACTCGGCAGAGGGCAGGAAGAAGGCGCTGGCCACCTGCTCCTCCCACATGACTGTGGTCCTTCTCTTCTACGGTGCTGCTGTCTACACCTACATGCTCCCCAGCTCCTACCACAGCCCCCAGAAGGACATGGTAGTGTCTGTGTTTTACACAATCCTCACTCCCGTGTTGAACCCCTTAATCTACAGTCTTAGGAACAAGGATGTCACAGAAGCTCTCAGAAAAATGTGCAGTGTGAAAATTGCCTTTCCAGACATGGTAAGACAGGGACCATGAGTACTCATGGGTTCTTTTCCTTCTCCCTGTGCATCAGACACACAGGCTCTTATATGGCTGCTGATTCTCAGATTCTCACATCATGAGGCTCATCCCACACTGGTCCCTGTCCTGGGAATTGATCCATCATATTGCAAAGAGCTCCACTTGTGGCCTCTTTTTCCATTCAAATGCTTACAATGGGGTGGCTTTGACATTTTATTTTCTGTAGCTGATGATTGGTCCTTAATCATGTAGAAGAATATTCATATGCTGTGGAGACACAGGTGAGATATTTAGAGGAAATGGTTGTAAGGTTTTCAGCAGAGAATGGACAGAGAGAAACGATGAAGTGAAAAGGGGCATGTTATTAGCAATGGAGGAGTTTACCTGACATCTACAGAAATTTCATTCTCTATTCATGTTCAAGATAACCCCCCCTCCCAGAAATGTAGATTTATATACAATTGAAAAGTTAAATATCCATGTGTTCTCTCTTCTTGGAGTTTCTGTGTTGTGCCTGGTAGCAGTGTGACTTTCTATCATGGAATCCATGTTTATTTTTGTGCACATAATACTTACTGGAATGTTTCAGTTCTGTGCTCGCCATCAGTGGAGACTGCCTTGTTCTGTGTGCATGGTCGGATTGTGGCAGATTGACACAACATGTATGAAGCTGTGGGGGAAATATTACTTCTGACTGGAAGGACAGTTTAGGGAATTTCCTTGTGAGAGGTAGTTTCTGCACTGGACTGTGAGTTAACCTGCTTATTTATAATCCAGTGGAACAGACAGCAGCAGGCACTCAATCTGTCACTTATTCAACAGACATCTTATGTTGCATTGTAATACAGTAATATATAGAGGGGATTAAAATCTGAATCTCAGAAGTTATTCCTTCAAAAGAACTTGAGCTGTGGCTGTAGCTCCACATACAAATTGATGGCATAAAGACACACAAGGGAAGGACCCCACAAGCCCCCCCTTCTGGCAGCGTCAAGCAACCAACCTGATGTGGGCTCTGTGCCTCAGCTTCCCGCACTGCAGGTTGTCAGAGCTGAAAACCAATTGGCAAAAGGTGCTGAGGATGAGACCGACATCTCAGAAAAGTTTCAGTCCAGGAAGGAAGCACACAGTGCTACAGAGACCATCAAGGCAAGCCAACTTGGGAAGGGCAAGAGCTTGACAGAATTCCCCCAGGTCCCTTGGAAAACTCAAGTGCAGGCTGGGAAAATAACTGGCCTGTGTTCAGGTCTGAGAGTTCAGGTCTGGTGGTGTCACCTTCAGAGGAGGCTGATGTGAAACGAATGGCATTACACCTGGTGCCCAGTTTGGTTCCAACACCACTGTTGGAGATCAGTGGTCTGACTCACTGTAGGTCCAGGTCTAGGGTGCCTACGTGTCCATGCTTAAATCATGGGCTGTTTGGTTCACAGGGCTCTTCAGTGTCCGGTATATTTTTGAGAGTGGTTTTGCTGTGCTGCTGTACTGCTCTGGCACAGGTGGCACAGCTGTGGCTGTCAGCTGATTTTCTCTTTGGGCCAGTATCCGGATGGCCTGTGGATCACAGACAGTATTGTGCCCCAGCCTCGAAGGATACAACAAGGGGCCAAAACAGCAGCATCTTCTCTGCAGTATAAACCAACATTGCTTTACATTAGGACAGAAGAAAAGGTTAATAGTTACCTGGGCACAAAATCTCTGTCACAGTGCTACTCACTCTGATCAACCAGGAAATTCCAGCACAGAAAAAACCCCAAAAAACAGAAGCTTGAGAAGATAAATGTCCTCCAAATATCCTCAAAGATGATTCAGGGGGCAGCAAGAGAGGAACACTAAAGTCAACCAATAGAAACACCTGAAAGGTTATCAGTGAAGGCAGCAAAACAGATCAATAAGTTGCTTGTTTGGTGAATTCAAAGAAGATATAAACAACAGTTAATGACCCTAATGAAACAAATAATCAAAAAGTCAAGAGAAGACAATAATAAAAGTCTAATGGAGCTAAAGAAAGAGATACAAAATATAGATACAGAGTACAGAAAATAATTAGAATCCTCAAAAATGTTCCAAAATGATATCCAAGAGATTAAAACTATGACTGAAAGTATAGGCTGGAGAAGAGACCAGTGTGAAGTATGAGTGGTGGACCTGGAACACAGGGCTGTGGTTGGTGAGTGTTTAAGGAGAGGTGTCATAAAAAAATAGGGGAACATGTAAAATGGATTAACCACCCAGTGTAAGATGCAAACACTAATTAATGTAGGAGTAACTGAAATCCGTGGGAAACCCGAAAACTGCACAGAGGGCAAAAACAACAACAACAACAAGCACCAGAAAACCAAACCCCTGCATATAGAAGTAATACCAGAAAACTTCCCAGGCATAGAAAAAAACTTAATATACAGGTAAATAAGAGTCATGATCTGAAGAAAATCATTGCTTGCCACATCATAATAAAAATACCAGAAATTCAACACAAGACCAAAATCTTTCAAGCCGTTAAAGCAAAGTAGTGAGTCTCTTAAAGAAGAAAACCCATCAGAATTACATCAGAATTCCAACACAACATTAAAGGTAAGAATCACTTGGAATGAAGTACTTCAAATCCTAAAAGAAAACAGTTTCTAACCTGTGTTCATATACTCTGCAAAATTATCTTTCAAAATTGAAGCAGAAAGAAGGTTTATTTGATAAAAACACCTAAGGAAATCCACAACCACCAAACCAACACTTCCCAAAATTCTTCCAGAAATCTTAGAAAGGGATCATGGAGCTTACAGGGTCAAAAGCCCAATAGAAAGAATGCACCAGATGGGGCAAGCAATTAAGTAGAAGGGGAGAAAGGAAACAGCAACAGGAAAATAATCCAGGGGCAGGAATAAATCAATACCTATCAGTTATAACTATTAATGTGAATGGTCTCAATCCATCAATCAAAAGATACGAATTGGGAAACTCCAGTGAGAAAGAGTCCAACAGTAGGATAAATACAATAAACACATTTACTCTCAAAAGAAATTCGTAGTCAAAAAATTGAAGATTGGAGGATATTTTCCATGTGGTTGGAGTCCAAAAGCAGCAGGGTTAGTGCTCCCATTTTCAGGCAAAGTAGATTTTAAGCCAAAGTTGATCAAAAGAGGCAAACAATGATGCTACTGGTTAACAGAACTACTCAAAGCAAGACAACCTGCACTGCACCCAACTTCCTTAAAAAACCTGCAGTGGAAATCAAAGACCAGATAAAGAGCATTATGATTATCAGTACTTCACTATCACAAATAAACAGATCAACTAAACAAAATATCAGAATTGAATCAAATCTTTGAACAAACAAGCTTGATAGATATATAAGGAATGTTCCACCCAAAAACCACAAAATATACTTCTTTTTGACAAAAATAGAACATATCCTAGCCAGAGAAGCATGATTAAATAAATGTAAAACCATCTAAATTTTATCAAGCACACAAACAGATCTCAGAGTGACAAAACCAGACATCAATGGCAAAAGAGCACAGAAATCATACAAAGATATGACATTTAACAAACTCTTGAATAATTACTGGGTCACACAAGAAATTAAAGACATAAGACAGTTCCTAGAATTAAATGGTAGTGCCAATAGAATGTACACATATCCATGGGATACACTGAAAACAGGCCTAAGAGAGAAGTTGATAGCTGAACATGCCCACATCAGAAAAACAGATTAAGTCCAAATAGATAACCTAATTCTGCACCTCAAGGTCCTTGAAAAATAAGCACAATCAAAATCCAGATCTTGTGCGAAGAAGTAAATTTTAAAGACTAGAGAAGAAATCAATATAAGATAAAAAGAACAATGCATGTGAAAAATGAATTGAAAATCTGGTTCTTTGAAAGACTAGACAATATAGATAAGCCTTTAAAAATTCTTACCAAAAAAATAAGACTCAAATCAATGATATGAACAATGAAAGTGATGTTGCCTAAAAGAGGCACAGGTCATGCATTGATCACAGTAAATGTGTGACAGTGAGGACAAGGAGACCTGTGATGTTTTGCTCATGAATAATGAAAAATGTTGTTTTTCCACAGTAGAACTGAATTATTAAGGAATAATAGAATCTAAATCACGTGAAAAATACCATTAGTTTGTACAAGTTACCTTTTAGACCCTAAAGTAAATTTCTGGAAGAAATTTAGATCTGTGATTCTGTGAGTTTTGAAGCCATTACGTTTTTGTCCACAATTGAAGAGGAAAGAATTATGGCAAGGCAGATACAAAGGCTGGAGGAGGCTCAGCTTTTCCAAAAGGACTGTCTGGATGACAAGACTCTGACTGGTGACCTTAATGAAACATGTGTGGAATTCCTTATATAGAAATTTATTTAATTTTAAAAAGGAAATGAAAGGGGTGATATCACAGTGCACACCTCTGGAATCAGAGCACTATTAACAACTACCTCACAAGCTGTCCACCATACACTCAAGAACTCAGAAGAAAAGGAGAGATTCCTAAATGTATAGAAATTACCAAAACTGAACCAAGAAGACTTAAAACTCCTGAAGTCAACAACAGGCTATTATATTAAAGCGCTAAAAAAAAATCTACCAACTAAGAAAATCCTAGCTGATGTATTGTCCTCCGAATTCTATAAGAACTTCAGAGAAGATGTAATATCAGAATCCCTCAAACTCCTTCACAAGGGGAGAAGCGCTTCCAGAGTCACTCTTGGAAGCTGGCACTATCCTGAGTCCAAAACCAGACAAGGACCCAAAGACAAACAGAACTACAGGTCATTTCTTAAATGAACACAGATGAAAAAATCCTCAACAAGATATTGGCAGACAGAATGCAACACATCGTCAAAAATATGATCAACTGGGCTTCCTCTCAGAGATGTAAGGATGGTTCCCAATGTAAGGGGAATCCCTATCAATAAACAGATTCATCACATAAATGGATTCATCACATAAACAGAAGCAAGTGCAAAAATAACACGATCATCTCAATAGATACAGAGAAAGCCTTGACAAAACCAAACTTACCTTCACAATAAAAACCCTGAAGGAAAGAGTTCTAGAAGGACCTTATCTCAAATTGACAGAAGCCATTTGTGACCGAGCTACTGCCAAAACCATAGCAAATCAACAAAAACTGAAAGCTTTTTCTCTAAAATCAACAAGACGTGGATGTCCACTGTTACCACTCCTGTCCAATACAGCACTCAAAACATTAGCTAGAGTAATCAGACAAGAGAAAGAAACAGAAGGGATATGTATCAGAAAGTGGAAAGTGAACGCATCATTATTTGGAGACGACATGATCCTTTATGTACAAGATCCAAAAAGTTCTGCAGAAACGCTCCTAGAATGAATTACCGAATTCAGCAACATAGCAGGATACAAGATAAAAACATGGAATCTGAGCAACATAGCTGAGCAGAGGAGGAGTCACGTCGGAGAGACTCCGAGAAGGTCAACTGAAAACATGGGTAACCAGGTTAAGGGGAGGGACACACACCCTAATGCAAAAACTCAACTTGCAACACGAGACTCGCAGATTAAACAAAACATATGCATAGGAGTTTAAAAGAGGCAAAGTAGTCTTATGAGGGCACTGGCTTTGTAGAAATCTGCCTGAGTTAGCCCTAGGCAGAATCGTGTCACCTCTGAGTGTCCACAGGACCGAGAGCCCACAGTAGCCTCCATGTACCAGGAGCTTCTCCCACAGACACTGGGAAATCCAGCCAGTAACCAGCCTGAATCCCCAATGAGGAGGAATCTACAGCAGAAGCCTCAGGAGCGAAGCTCACCCCTTCCCTGGTACAGGGATGTGTGGTGGGGAGAGAGAGGCTCCTTGGGTTGAGCATCTGACATACAAGGTCCCAAACTGTGAGGAGGGGCAAGGAGGAATGTGACTTGCACATTAGAGACTACTGACCCCAGGAGGAGGAAACAGTCCTCTGAAAACACACAGGGACTCTTCTCTTGCTCTCCTTTTTTCCTTCCTGTTATTGGTACATTTTTTATTTAACACTTTTTTTCCTTTTTGCTTTTGGTGGGGGTTTAAGTTTAATTGCCATCTTCTTGGTTCCTATATCAAAGAAAAAGCACCTCAAGCAATTCATGGCCACCATATAAGCACTACAGAAAGTGCCCAAGTGAATCTGAAGCAGAGAGAGTGAAGCTGATGCCACCAAAGAGCCCAAAGGAGAGGTTGCATCTAAATAGCAGGAGTTGAACAAAAGAGAAAAAACTCAATGGGAAAGTAATGTAAGAACAGCTTCTAGTAAGTAACTCTCAAGGTAAATGGCCATAACTCCCCAGTCAAAAGATACAGACTAACAGATTGAATGAAAGCAAACAAAAAATAAAACTCAGCTGTATGATGCTAGAAGAGATATCACAACCCTCCTTAGAAAATAAAAGGATGGAAAATGATTTTTCATGCAATAGAATCCTGAAATCAATGAGGAGTAACTGTCCTATTTTATACAAAGTGGGTTTCTGTCCAGAACTGATCAGAAGAGACCAAGAAGG